GAGAGAGAGAAGAGAGAAGCAGCGCTGTCTGCTTAGTTGCAATACTGTAGCTTATGCAATTTAGGCCTATAAATTGTTTATGTAATTTATGTGCCAGTGTGTCCATGGTTTTGAGTCTGTGTGTGTTGAGCGCAGCACCGTCTGCTTTTTGCAGTACAGTAACTAAAGTAGGACTAAGCATACCGGGAGTTTCTGTGGACCTGTCTGCCCGTTTTGTGAGTGCACTGCGCGCGTGCGCACTTGTGTGGCATTGTTTGGGATGACCTAATTAAAATAGCGTCCCCCCAGTAAAAAAATCCCCACTACACCACTGGGTACAGTACAGATAGAGCTGAGTCAATGTACACAATAGCCGCGTTCGCACCGCGTACTTTGCAGTACGCAAATGAGCCGCTGACGTCACTTCGTCTTCTTCTGCTTTGGGTTTACTGGCAGGCAGCAAACAACTTCACGGCGTATACTGCCACCCGAAGTCCCCCGGCCGGAAGTCCCCGGAGTTGGGGACTGGCTTCAGTAGAAGCTGCTGCGACCCCCAGCAGCTTCTACTGAAGCCTTCAGAGTAAATCGCCAGAACGCCGACACCTCCTCATCTCCACCACTCCCATGTTTTGTTTTTTTTTGCCATAAGTTAGTCTCTGTCCGTTGGTGCGCGGGGATAATGCTAATGCTAATAATGCTAATGCCACAAATACAATGGCGGCTTCACAAAACTTTTCAGAGTTTTACGGGGCGTGGTTTGCAATTCGCCCAGCCAATCAGAACTGGGGCACTTTTCCTCCCCAGGATAGTACCACCTCTCTAGCAGGCACTAAAAATGGGGGTAAAAGTTGCCAGCACTAAGTACTCTTTTTGGTGTGAACGCAACATAAGGGGTACTAACGGAACTAAAGGGGAAAAGTACTCCGGTGTGAACGCGGCTACTGACTGTGGCATCAAACCCAGGACAACCTCTAGATCCAGTCATCTAAATGTATTGTGAATATGTGCCAGTACAAAGACTGATGAGAGTGTGTGTGTGTGTGTGTGTGTGTGTGTGTGTGTGTGTGCATGCGTGCTGACCTGGATCTCCGTGTCCTCAGTGCAGCACAGAGGCAGCAGTCTGTCAGAGAGGAGGCTCTGCAGCTGCATGCTGCTACAGGAGGCTGTGACCACATGCACCCCCTTCACTCCTGAGGCCCGCGGCCCCCGGCTCTGCACACACTGCTGGGGGACGTTCCCTTTGTAGCCCAGCACGTACCTGGAGAGGAGGGGTGGAGCTTTAGTTGAAGGCTATATCAAAAGGTGATATAGCTGAAGTTAAAGAGAATTTACCTATTTGTTTAAAACATAAAATACTGTTATATCAGTCTTATGCCTGGTCACATGATAAGCTATACAAATGTGTTATTGAGTTTCCAGAATTAGTTAATGCTAATTATCAGTAGATGTATACAAATTCAAGTGAGCTGATTCCGATGTTGGAGGAAGTGCGAAGAGGCTCTAAAGATGATAATATAGTTAAGTCTTTGTTAATTAATGACTCCTAAAGACGTCATGAGATGATGACCTTCTGATATACAAGTGTGGCATTCAGAGGGAAAAACATGCGATGGCATGTTAGTTCATGTAAAGGAAATGTGTGTGCGTCATTTTAGAAGTCCTATATATGTCTCTGTAAAATTCTACTGGGTTGGAGCATTACTGTATGACTGCTTGAGAGCAAAGGTAATGTTTCCTCATTATTTAGTGGGAATGCTGATACAGCATTCCCACTATATGTTATTTAGTGGGAATGCTGATACAGCAAATGCTGTTGCCATGGCAACACAATGCTCACCATGAAACACGGTTTTCTCATAACTTCAGTGAAAATGCTCCAAACGGCCCAAAACTTCACAGGTTTGGTAACGATGCAGCCATCAACACATCTAAGCGTATTATGGGGTGTCATCAAATGCCGTTGGCATGGCGACAGATCATTCGCCATCAAGTTAGTTCAAAAGTTTGCAGTTCAAATATTCTGCTGCTTTTCCAAGCCTTTTTACTTTCTTTTCTTCACTCATCACACATTCAAGCCCCCAGTGTTCATGTATCATTTCAATCTAAATTCTTCACTTTCTTCTTACACATTACATTTCAGCATAGCAGTTTAGCGTCAGATTTTCAGCATAAAGCATTCCCACTAGCAATTTCTTCAGGAATTGCATTCTCTAGTTATTGATTGTTGTACAACGAAATAATAATTGATCAACTATATCTGTGTTTGTGTTTTATTGATTCCTCTGTTTCATTCTTTCCTAAATTGCCACAACAAAACGTCATCCCTCTACTTTTTATGAGGGAGCCTGAGCAAAGCCAACTTCTGGGTCAGCCTGAACTCCATCACTGCACCACTTCAAAAGATCCCCATGTTAACACGCCCAACTTTACAACATAAATAAACATGTGTACAGCCTGGTACAATAAAAACAATTATGTTTTGGTTGAGTTACAAAAGCTGTGTGTGATTTTGACACACTGTATGAGACACCACGTCTCACCTCAGCAGGGGGTTCTCGAAGATGTGCAGCTTGCGTCTGAGCGTCTCGAGCTGGTCGTAGAGCTGCAGGCCCTCCACCATGGACACGTTGTCCAGCTCTGAGTCAGAGTCGGTGCTGAGGCCGCTGCGCAGCACGGAGAACTGCTGGAAGCACTGGGAGCAGCTCTGCAGTAAGGACTGGTACTCTGCCACCAGGCCGGCTGGCACTCTGTCCTCCAAGATGTCGTAATATCTGAAAGTATACACATTTTCAAAAGAACAATTTGTGGGAATAAAATATGACGTCATCACCCAGACACAAAGTTTACTCACAGCCTGAGACGAGGCTCCACACAACGAACAAAGTAGTCAAAGTCATCTTCGTCTTCCTCATCCCACTGCCTCCAGATGTGTTCATAGAAAAACCTGCAGGAAGAAGAGGATTGCACAACTACTCAGTAAAGTGTCAAACCATTTAGAACTGGACAAAGAATAATATGTGAACTGGGACCGAGGATGAAGTCAGAAGTCCCACCTGAGGTGCTCCACAGCGAGGGCGGTCTGATCAAAGTCCCCAGAGAGCTCGAAGACCACCTGCAGCTGCTGCAGGGGGACTTTGTCTCCGGAGGCGCCCAGCAGGACCTTCATGGCCTCCTCAGTGAGGTCACAGCCCCGGGTGTCGCACTGCAGGGGCAGCACCAGCCGCACACAGGCCTTCAGATCCTTGAAGTCCACATCACACACCTGAAACCATGAACAGCCGTTCTCTGTAAACATGTTTGGATCCACTTTCTCTGTGGGTACAGGCAGCTGCTCAACTGTGTGTCAAATCAATGAGCTGTTGGAAACGATTTAGAACCACCTCATGATACTCTCTGCATTGTTTTTGCATTCACAGATTAGGTTTAAGTGGTGCAGTTTGACCTTACGGTCTTTTAATGGTTTTCTTACATTTAGAAAAACTAAACTAAGTTTAAACTTCCTTTGAAACAAAAAGGAAACGAGTCATTAGGAACAGCTTATATATAACTTACACAAGCTCATCCAAATCTCTGCTCTCACTCAAGAGTGACATTAGGGTCACATGGTGTGAAAAATAGAGGTAAATTATTTCATGATATTAACGGATACATTTCTGAAAGAGGGACTCACCTCCACCAGGACGTCAAAGACATCAGTAGACCAAAGAGCCAACCAATCACACGGCTCCACCACCTTCTCCAGATAGTCTGCTGTGAACGCCTTCACCTCCGATGGCTTACAGTCTCCTACACACAAACATGTATAAATCAATGAGCACTGAGATCAGGAACAGTTATTCTTGTATTGTGTTTGAGTGGGATGTGTCAGAGGGTGTGGTTACCCAGCATGTAGTCCTGGTAGGCCCTGAACCTCTCGTAGAACAGCAGGTGGCTGGTCTGGAAGGTGTCGGGCACATTAGAGTTCCCTCCTGCAGGACGCTCACTCCTCTGCAGCTGAGTGCCCGACTTCTCAGAGTTAAAATGGTCAGTGCCGCTGTCATCGTCACTCTCATTTTCATCCTCCTCTTCATTCAAAGACTGAGCTGTTGGGAGATATCTTAGTTCAATTTTGTAATATTTACATCCCCTGAATAAACCAGCTATGCATGCTAGTCAAGTAATTTGCTAATTCTTAGTTTAAGGTAACACTTCAATTATTTTAAGAAAAAAAAAAAGGGAAAAATAATACCCTTACTGTGACAAAAGGAAATCTACAAAACTACACAACAGTATTAATCATTATTCAAATAAATAAAATATGAATTGCACACTAGCCAACATAAGCTAATGTGAAAGCTGAATTCCGCTTGTTGGATGAATTGCCTTCTTATAGAACTGCCTTCTCAGGGAAGAATAGAAAAGCCATTTTGTAGTAGACCAGTCTGAAATATAACAAACATAACAGTGCACTGTAGAGAGTACTAAAGATAAGATATTTGAAGACATTAAAGATCCTGTGGCCCTGATGCTAACATATCCCCTGTTTACAGTATCAAAGTTTGTGCCTCTGAAAGTGAAATGCGTGTTCTATTTGTTCTCACTCACCTCCAAACCCTTGGGCAGGAGAGGCGTTTCTTGCAAATCAAATCAGTTGCTATATCATAGCAATTATCCACAGATTCACGTGCCTGATGTTTTGGTCAGAACTGGGTCGACCCAGTGAATCAGTTCTGCACGACCAAACAATGCACACGTCCAATCTGTGTGTGTGTGTGAGCGGCCTTTATAGAGCTTATTATAAAGGAGCACTTGGAACAGAAGATGCATAGTTAAAATGCACGAGTAGCATTAGAATGTTGTTCTGCTAACAGGTGAAACCAGTTCCAGCTGCAGTAGCTTGCCTTATCCCAGATGATATACATTACTACAGCCTTAAATATCGGAGGCCTCAGAGATAGATATATAATCAGAATTGAATAATTGGTTTGAGTATATATATATATATATATATATATATATATATATATATATCTCAATGAGAACCACCACAACTGAATGAGAAACTGTGTTGATTGATCAATCATTTAGGTCGTTTTTCCAGTACAAAAATGTGCTTGTTATTGCTTCCCCATTATATATATCAGAACCAGAATACACATAATGAGTTTGTGTTTTCTGTTTGATATCATTTTCCAAGGAATAACTTATAATATAATAATAATAAATATAAAATCATACAAAACACATTGAGAACATTACCAGAGACTCTGAGCTATTACTGTACATGATATAAACCCAAACCACCGACAGTTGGTAGATTACTCTTCTATAATGAAGTGATTAGTTGAAGCCCTCACCGAAACCTCATTCAAATAGGGGCGGAAAATGTTCGTTTTATCAGCCTCACTTTCCCAAGATGCAGCAGCTGTTTTCACGTTGGTGTTTTGATGTTGTGGGATGGATAATTGGTTACCATACGCAGTGTCTCATGGAATGTTAACTACATTATGCCAAAGGTTAACAAAAACACCAGACTGATCAGCGGCTGGTTTTATTGCACACCGACCAGTAAAGTAACCTTCATAGTAGATGTTAGTGTAACATCAGGACATCCCATCTGAAGTGAAGCCACCGTCCACCTGGAGGTTTCAGAACAGCAGAGGAGAACTAGCCAGGCCAACAGAGTTAGCTAACACACGGACATTAGCCACCGTTGGTGTGTTTTAAACGATGATTGGAACACACCATGACACTGACTGACCTTCATTCAAACCGGACAAATTATTTCCCACTTCAGAAATCCCGTTGTTGTTTTCCATGTCGAGTTCAACGTGAACAAATGACTCCAAATCCACCACCATGATGTCCGTCATGTCGCTTCCAGTGTTGCTTGTTCCAGCTGAGGGAGTTTCCAGTGCTTCTTGCTCCATTAAGAATTAAAATGAACTACCTGGCTGATACTTTGCCAGGTAAATACTTATTTTGAATGGGCTTCGAAATTTGACAAACGTTAGCACAAACGTTACCGCACCGTTCTCTTAACACATCCATAAACTGCACACACCCAGTTACTTTTAAAATGTTCCCGGTCTGAAGAGCATCACCCAATCCAGAAGCGTACAACTGCAGGATGTTCCACCCCTAAGAGAATTTGACGACAAAGGCCTGACAGGGGCATATTTGGCATGACCCGCCTAACCAATCCAATAAACCAAGGCAACGACTACTGGCCAATGAGAGTGAGAGTGAGGCGGGTCATCATGCCTTGGCCATTTTATGTATTTTTTTGTTTTCCTTTATTGGAGATGATTCTTTTGCAAGTAGGCCTACCTTGCCGACAATACACTTTTTAAACACATTACATAGGAAAATAATTCACGTTTTATAAAATAGTAACCATATTTATATAGAGTATTACATAAATAATTTAAAAATAAAGAGAAAATAATATTATAAACATTGATAACACTCTTCAAGAGTAGGGGTAATCATAATAATGTCTTGGTTCTTTCACAAGCTCTAAGAAGAGACGTTGTATTTATTCTGTTCATTAGTGTCAAAGCAGTGAGATGATTGTCCACATTGTCTGTATTAAGAAAAGGGGGTTTTATGTTAAAAATTAAACAATTTTATCAGATTTTTAAATATTTAGTCAATCCTAATGTCCTTCTTAAAACCCAAACACAAATGTTCTCTTGTGAAAGGACCAGCTATTTGAATTTTGGTTTGACGGACAGACTTGGAAAACAATCCAGAACACCACAGAATAATGTACTTGTCAAAAAAGTGATCAGAAGTTTCCATCTCACAAATGCTGCCTTTATTGCTAACAACATTACATCTCAGTCCCAGCAAAATTATTCAGAATTTTTTTATTGTTTTTTCTCTTGGGGTTTACAGGATAAATTACATTGCTTTTTCTCCTTAATATCTGACTGTAGTTGTATGATGAAATTATATCAAAACTAAGCATGTGTGCAAAGTTGCAAACTATTATGCAGTCATGAGCATGCCAGTATACTTTTTTTAATTAATTTGTATGTCTGTAAAGCAGTGAGATTTGCAATAACATAGCACATCTGTTGGCGGGGGTTGTGGAACTTTGCATTTTGACCACAGCATTATATTGTAAAACAATGACAGTTTGCAAGTCACATTTTCAACCTGTGAATCACATTGTAAAATAATCTCAACAGCATCTGTGCAGAGTAAGGCCCAATCCCAAACCGCGCCCTCCATAGTTCAGTAACAGGCGGACCGCAGTCCGGGTCCAGACCCAGACGCCGACCTATACGGCCCCGGACCTATAATCAATACATTAATAGGGGATTTCAATTTTGACGGGCCGATTCTATTTTAACCGCCGCCGACAGGGAGCGAAAGAGACGAGTGAGCGATACAGGGAGAGAAACACAGAAGAAGAGACGAGAGAGCGGCAGAGGCTGCGTCTCAGGTCGATTAAATGGAATCCTTGCGTCCCTCACTTGCGTCGTTTCCCTGCGTTTAGTCCCTCCCACCAGAGAAGCATGGAGAGACGCAAGGAAACCACGAGAAGCAGGGAAATGAGTTTTAAGAGCAATGGGACGACGACCGAGGAAATGAAAATAGTCGACCTGAGACGCAGCCAGAGAGAGGCTGCGGCTGCGTCTCAGGTCGATTATTTTCATTTCCTCGCTCGTCGGTCCTCGGTATCACCGGAAGTTGATTTGTCATCTTGAGTAGCGTCCCATGGCGCTTATTTCTGCCGGAGGACCGAGGAGCGAGGAGCGAGGAGCGAGGAGCGAGGAGCGAGGAGCGAGGAGCGATAATGGAGGAGCGATAACCGAGGAACCACCAGACCATCCTCCGGTGAAATCCTCAGATACTCTCCCCGCCCCCTTACTGTGTATAGCTCACTGATTGGACGATGCAGCGCATGCACTGATCTGTTGCTTCTTGACATGAGAGCAGTTTCCCAGCAGAGTGAAGAAAACACATGAAACTCACAGGACTCACTCCTCAGTTCAGGGACGGGCTAATGTTGCCCGGGCAACGGCCCGTTTGGCCTTTTTGGCTGACCTGCCCCTCTGGAGAGAGCGAGAGTTTGTTTTTATTTTTTCTGTTGTGGCCGAATCAACATGATAAGCCCACAATTAGCATTGTAGCGTCTCGCTGCAGGAAACACACTAGGCTTGTTTGAGACGAGCTGCGGCTCGCCTCGAAAGTAGACGAGAATAGCCGATCGCAGCCGGGGGAGGTCTCAAAAAGCTCGCCTGAAGTCGGACAGCTCGGAGTAGGCTTCTTTCTCTTCTTCTTCTTCTCTCGGTTTTTTGGCGGATTGCAAACAACTTTAAGGTCCGGAGTCGGCTTGACTCGGTTTGCATTTATAAAGAATGCACAAATGTGTTTAATCGTTAATGTCAGATATGTACTAAGTAAATACATTTGTTCCTGCTCAAGATTAGATTCAACTTTATTGTTATTGCACAGATTACAGGTACTGAGACAACAAAATGCAGTTTAGCTTCTAACCAGGAGTGCAAAACGCAGTAAAGTGAAAAGTAATGTACACAATCTACAGAACAAAATATAGAATGAATTGAATGATGAATAAACAGTGAGGGGTATGAATACACTATATACACAGTAGCCTATGAGCAGAACAGTATTAACAGTGTGTATGAATATGCTAAAATCGATAAAGTATGACAACGGTAAGCAGTGCAAGTATTGTATAAAATATATAGATATTAATGTCATGATGATAAACATTGTGGAACAATGATGAAAATGTGAATGGAATTGGCGACGTAAAACTGACACAAAACAACAACACACTTTTGCCGAGCCAATGGAGAGTTTCATCACCAGCACGGGGTAAAAACCACCAATGAGCACTCAGCTCGAGATACCAGCGAGTCGTTCTTATAGAGTGACGAAGTCACGCCCATCTACTTCCGCCCCATGGGACCTTATTTCAGAAAAATAATGTATTGAAGTCAATGGAGAGAGAAAACTTATCTTTCGATCCAGTTTGAATTGTGCCATGAATTACACATATGATGTTTGTCAATCTTAAAAAATAATTTCCATGTCAAAAAAAGTCACAGTTTGTCGTAAAACTGTTGAAATATAAGACTATGAAAAATACGCAACTAGAAAGACTACAAATCCCAGAGTCGCGTAAGTGATGTCACAATTGTTTTCCTCCACTAGCTAAGATCAGCGCCATATAGATATAATCTATCTATATGGCGCGGCTAAGATAAGATAACTTTAACAAGATGCCTGTGTGCTTAGTACCAGGTTGTTATCATACCAGCAATGGGTCTTGCTCGTTCTTTCGCTTCCCGTCTGATGAAAGGACTAGGAGTGTCTGGATCAAGCTAGCTAGTAGCTAGCACGTTAGTTAGCATTACAGCCGTGTCATTTTTATTAGCCTTAACATGAAGTAACATGAAGTAACCCAACATGTTAAACAGTAAGAGTAGTAGTCATATTTTGTGAACCCTTTGAATAGTACTGTCACCGGTGTGATCATTCTATAATACACAATTTAAGCCCGGGGGAGAAATGCTAACGCTAACGCTAGCGATCTTCTCTACTTCATGCTATCTGCACAAATGGTTGACATTAAACATTAAAACGACCAGGCAGTTCAGAGAGAATCAAAGGAAGGCAGGCAGGCAGCTTTGCATGACATTCTTCAGGACGTGTTTCATTGTGGTGATAGTGAGGGTAGTCAATCGTTTTGTTGACAGTAGTGACGGCCATCTTGGTGACGTGTGTTGTTCTGTGAGACCAGAGATGTAGTTCATTGAGCGTTTCACACAAACAAATGTGTTACTTCACAGTTTTACGACACATTTTTTTTTTTTTTACTTGCAAAATTATCTTTTAAATTGACAAACATCATATGTGTAATTCGTGGCACAATTCAAACGGGATCGAAAGATAATCTTTCTCTCTCCATTGACTTCAATACATAATTTTTCCGAAATAAGGTCCCATGGAGGTCCACCGGAAGGGGAGGGACTTCGCCACTCTATTATACATCCATGGTCGTTTCCCATCAAGCATTTCGCTTCCGCAGCCCGTGGAGAGAAACTGCGCCGCCTCGCCGTGCCTCGCCGCGCCTCGCCGTGCCTCGCCGCGCCTCGCTCTCAAGTCTGCCGGCGTCTTTGTCCCGCGAGATTTCAACGTCTCATGTAGGCGAGCCTCCAGAGCAAGTCGGACAAAATGACTAACCGGGTGTTTCTCAATCGCGAGTAAAGCTGCTTCAGAGCCACTATTTCAAGCATACTACGTCATCGAGTGCCGCCGAAGTACTGTTCCAATCTCCAGCATACTTGGAAATCTACCGAGCCCGGCGTACTCCGTTTGGAGAAATATCGAGTGTGCACATGAGTAGACTTCGCGGTCTTAAAATCCCCACAATGCTTTGCGCACGGACCAATTTCCCCAAATCTGTGGCGGAAGATGTAAGGAGGCGGGGCCTCTCATATGACGCACACCTGCACACTTGCTAGCGTGTTCCACTCTTTGTTTTCCGAATGTCAGGAAGTATTCTTGACTCGCTTCTGAAGCAAGATGCTCGGCAGACATGTGCTACCAAGCAAGCGTACTCGCGATTGAGAAACACCCAATATCATGCAACGCACTAGCAAGACGTTGATCGCAATTGCGCAGGTCTGCGCAGGTCTCGCTTGTCTCAAACAAGCCTACTTTGTCAGCGCTGTCATCTGCCGGTGCGTTAAGACCACCTCAGTGTCGGATTTTGGAAACTTGATTTTGAGTTGTCTCATGGCAGTTAGGGTATAAGGGACAAATCAGGGGACTTTACTTCCTCTTGATACCGTCGGTTATTTACAAAAAAACAACTAAATATAGCCTACTTGTTATTGAGCTTCTGTCTTTCTGTGTCTTTTCATCTGTAAACTCCTTTATATATACAGTCTATGGTAAACTCCCTCAACGGGGCCGCTCGCTCTCTTCTCTTGATCGCCCTCTCACAGGAGAACACTTCACTGCCCCGCTTAATTGTAGGATTTCTGCCATGTCTCTACCACTTTAGTTTGACCATCTCTGTTATTAAGTTATGGAATACTAAATAAACAA